CTTTTATCAGGACATAGTGACTTTCTTATCTATTCTGATTAGTTTTTGCTTGAAATCTGCTTTGTCAGATATGATAATAGTTAATTCCTGCTTGTTTTCAGGGTCCTTATGCATGGAATAATTTTTTCCATCCTTTTACCTTCAGACTGTGGGTATCTTTGCATGTCAGATGAGTCTCTTGTAAACAGCATATGGTTAGTTTTTTTGTTTGTTTGTTTGTTTGTTTGTTTTTGCCCTTTTCAATGCTTTATTCACTCAACTCACTCAATACAATTTCACTCTATAGGTTCTTAATCAAGAAAATGACAATCCTTAATACTGGGCACTGCAAGAGACATAGATAATCAGTTCACAGCAATTAATTCTAGATTAATTATTCACAGCAAACAATTCTAGATTAATTCTAAGCACTGCAAACACACTTAACTGTGACAGGCTCATGACAGACATTCCCTCTGCGTGATAAGCTCAAGTGTCAGATCAGAAGTCTCAAGTCTTAGGCTCTAAGTCCACTGATGCCCACTCACTCAGTCCAAGGTGATCAGGTCAGGGACCAAGGCAGGCTTTCCCTGGGGTGGAGCTGATGGCCAGGTGAGGAGGCAGTCCTAGGGAGAAGTTGTGGCTCTCACCAAGGTCAAGAGGCTGCTGTAGAGTTTGAGAGCAGTGAGAATAACACAGAGGATCAGGCAGATGAGAAGGGCTGGGATGTCAGTCCAGGTCCTCACATCAGTGTGTGATCAGTGTGTGCATCGGTGTCAGCTGCTCATATGGTTAGTTATTGCTTTTGATCCATTCTTCTAATCTGTGTCTTTTAATTGGGGAATTGAGATCATTAACCTTCAGTATTAGTATGGATATGTGTTTGTGATTTCCTGCCACTTTTTGTCTTGACTCTCTTTTAGTGGATTATTTTTCCATTGGATTTCTGCTATTTGGGAGCTTTGGGAATTTTTTTTTAAGGAAATCAAATAAAGATTTTATCTATATTATATTCTCAGTCCCAGAAAGTAATTCTTCTTACAGTAGAGGTATCACCAGATGCCATCTGCATAGGATTTCCCATTTATTCCTCACACTGTTACTGAATCAGTTCTGTTTTGCCCACTACACAGAATGCCAATCAGAGTTTTACAAAGGAGAAAGGTTTTTTAATTTAGTTATTTATTCTAATTTGTTATGCATGATAGCAGAATGCATTTCAATTTATAGTACACGTATAGGCACAATTTTTCATGTTTCTGGTTGTATACAAAGTAGAGTCACACCATTCGTGTCTTTACATGTGCTTAGGGTAATGATGTCCATCTCATTCCACCATCTTTCCTATCCCCATTCACCCTTTCCTTTCCTCCCTCCCCTTTGCCCTAGCTAAAGTTCCTCCATTCCTCCCATGCTCCCCACCACATCCCCGTTATAGATCAGCATACACATATCAGAAAAAACATTTAGTATTTGGCTTTATGGGATTAGCTTATTTAGCGTAATATTCTCCAGTTCTATCCATTTACCTATGCCATAATTTTATTCTCTTTTAATGCTGAGTAATATTCCACTGGGTATATACATATATATACCACATTTTCTTTATCCATTCTCTACCAAAGGGCAACTAGGTTGGTTCCACAATTTAGCTATTGTAAATTGTACTGCTATAAACATTGATGTCATTGCATCACTGTAGTATGCTGTTTTTAAGTCTTTGGGGTATAAACCGAGGAATAGGATAGCTGGGTCAAATGGTGGTTCCATTTCAAGTTTTCCAAGGAATCTCCATACTGCTTTCCATATTGGTTGCACCAATCTGTGGTCCCACTAGCAATGTATGAGTGTGCCTTTTTCCCCACATCCTCATTAATATTTATTGTTGTTTGTATTCTAACTACCTGCCATTTTGACTGGAGTGAGATGAAATCTTAGAGTAGTTTTGATGTGCATTTCTCTAATTGCTAGAGATGTTGAACATTTTTTCATATATTTGTTGATTGATGGTATATCATCTTCTGAAAATTGTTTAGTTCATTTGCCCATTTATTGATTGGATTATTTGATTTTTTTGGTGTTAAGATTTGTGAATTCTTTATATATCATAGAGATTAGTGCTCTATCTGATGTGCATGTGATAAAAATTTGCTCCCATTCTGAAGGCTCTCTATTCACCTCACTGATTATTTCTTTTGCTGAGAAGAAGCTTTTTAGTTTGAATCCATCCCATTTATTGATTCTTGGTTTTATTTCTTATGCTATATGAGTCTTTATTAAGGAAGCTAGGGCCTAATTCGACATGATAAAGATTAGGGCCTACTTTTTCTTCTATTAGGTGCAGGGTTTCTGTTTTAATTCCTAGGTCTTTGATCCACTTTGAGTTGAGTTTTGTGCATGATGAGAGATAGGTGCTTATTTCATTTTGCTGCATATGGATTTCGTTTTCCCAGTACCATTTGTTGAAGAGGCTATCTTTTCTCCAATATTTGTTTTTGGTGCCTTTGTCTAATATGAGATAACTGTATTTATGTGGGTTTGTCTCTGTCCTCTATTCTGTACCATTGGTCTACAAATCTATTTCGGTGCCAATACCATGATGTTTTTGTTACTATTGCTCTGTAGTATAGTTTAAGTTCTGGTATAGTGATGCCACATGCTTCACTATTCTAAGGATTGCTTTGGCTATTCTGGGTCTCTTATTTTTCCAATTAATTTCATGATTGCTTTTTCTACTTCTTTTTTTTTACATTTATTTTTTAGTTATAGTTGGACACAATACCTTTATTTTATTCATTCACTTTTTTTAATGTGGTGCTGAGGATCAAACCCAGGGTCTCACACATGTGAGGTGAGTGCTCTACCGCTGAGCCATAACCCCAGCCCTGCTTTTTCTATTTCTATGAAGAATGTCATTGGGATTTTGATTGGAATTGCATTAAATCTGTGTAGTGCTTTGGTAGTATGGTCATTTTGACAATATTAATTCTGCCTATCCAAGAACACAGGAGATCTTTCCATCTTCTAAGGACCTCTTCAATTTCTTTCTTTAGTGTTCTGTAGTTTTCATTGTAGAGGTCTTTCACCACTTTCATTGATTACCAAGTATTTCATTTTTTATTTGAGGCTATTGCAAATGGGGTAGTTTTCCTAGTTTCTCTTTCAGAGGATTTGTCACTGATGTACAAAAAAAAGTCTTTGATTTATGAGTGTTGATTTTATATCCTGCTACTTTGCTGAATTTATTTATTCTAGAACGTTTCTGATGGAATTTTTTGGTATACAATCAAGTCATCAGCAAATAGTGATAGTTTGAGTTCTTCTTTTCCTATTCATATCCCTTTAATTTCTTTCATCTGTCTAATTGCTCTGGCTAGAGTTTCAAGAACTGTGTTAAATATAAGTGGTAAAAGAGGGCATCCCTGTAGAGGAAATGCCTTCAATGTTTCTCCATTTAGAATGATGTTAGCCTTCAGCTTAACATAGATAGCTTTTACAATGTTGAGATATATTCCTGTTATCCCTAGTTTTCTAGTGTTTTGAACATGAAAAGGTGTTGTATTTTCTCAAATGCTTTTTATGCATCTATTGAGATGATTATATAGTTCTTATTTTTAAGACTATTAATGTGATGAATAACATTTATTGATTTCTGAATGTTGAACCGACCTTGCATCCCTCAAATGAACACCACTTGATTGTGGTGCACTATCTTTCGGATACATCCTTGTATTTGATTTGCCAGAATTCTATTGACAATTTTTACATCTATGTTCATTAGAGGTAATGGTCTGAAGTTTTCTTTCTTTAATATGGCTTTGTCTGGTTTTGGAATCAGGGTGACATTGGCCTCATATAATGAGTTTGGAAGTGTTCTCTCTTTTTCTATTTCATGAAATAATTTGAGGAGTATAGGTATTAGTTCTTCTTTAAAGGTCTTATAGAACTCAAATGCGTTTCCATCTGGTCCCGGGCTTTTCTTGGTTGGTAGGCTTCTGATGGCGTCTTCTATTTCATTGCTTGAAACTGATCTGTTTAACTTGTATATATCATCCTGATTCAGTTTGGGCAAATCATCTGACTCTAGAAATTTGTTGATGTCTTTGATAGAATGCAGGGTAGTCTCTCTACTTTTTGTATTTGCTAAGAGTTGCTTTGTGGCATGAAATATGGTCTATTTAAGAGAAGGATCCATGTGCTGCTAAGAAGAAAGTATATTCAATCATTTATGGATGAAATATTCTATGTATGTCTGTTAAGTCTAAGTTATCTATTGTACTATTGAGTTCTGTAGTTTCTTTGTTTAGCTTTTGTTTGAAAGATCCAACCAGTGGTGAAAGAGGTGTGTTAAAGTCACCCAGAATTATTGTGTTGTGGTCTATTTGACTCTTGAACTTGAGAAGAGTTTGATAAATGTGGATGCTCCATTGTTTGGGGCATATATATTTATAATTGTTGTGTCTTGTTGATGGATGGTTCCCTTAAGCAGTATGAAATGTCCTTCTTTAACCCTTTGGATTAACTTTGGATTGAAATCTACTTTATTTTATATGAGGATGGAAACCCCTGCTTGTTTCCGCAGTCCATGTGAGTAGTATGTTTTTTCCCAACCTTTCACCTTCAGTCTATGGATGTCTTTTCCTATGAGATGAGTCTCTTAAAGGCAGCATACTGTTGGGTCTTTTTTCTTTTTTTTTCTATCCAGCCTGCCAGTCTGTATCTTTTGATTGGTGAGTTTAGGCCATTAACATTCAGGATTATTATTGAGACATGATTTGTATTCCTGGTCATTTTTGGTTTTGTTATTTCATTTGACTTGATTTCTCCTTTGATTAGTTTTTCCTTTAGTGTAATATTGCCCTTTGCTGATTTTCATTGTTTCTTTTTCATTTCCTCCTCATGGGATATTTTGCCAAGGATGTACTAATGTAGTACAGGTTTTCTAGTTGTAAATTCTTTTGTTTATTATGGAAGGTTTTTATTTAATCATCAAATCTAAACCTTATTGGGAATTGTTTTTTGAAAATATTTCAAAAATATTTGTGTATCATCCTTGCATAGGGGCCATGCTAATCTTCTCTGTATCATTCCAATTTTAGTGTATGTGCTGCTGAAGCAAGCACTGAAATTGACTTAAGAGAGGGGACATGGAATTATGATAAATGAGATTTTGATTTTTTTTTTTTCGTACCAGGGATTGCAGCCTCTATCTTACTTTTCCAGTCTTCCCCTATGCTGTAGCACACATCCCCAGTCTAGACATTTGTTTCCTGTTTCCTTCCCATCCTATCTCTGGTGTTTTCCAGAGTTTTGCTTCTGCTAAACTCATTAAAACACTAGCTGATAAGAAAGGTGTTTATGCCCATGTGAAAGTCAGCATGTAAATTACCCAAGATGTATTTTGAGTTTCCATAAAAATATGGAAAACCAAGAGGTATTCAAGGCTCTGATGAATAAAGCTTTAATAACCAAAATAATGCCCTCTTCAATCATACCACCTTGACGGCCATCCTTCTGACTGCTGATCAGTCATAAGACCAACCTAGGAGATACTACCCCCACATTTGCCTTCTCAGAACATTCAGCCAATAAACACTACTTGGGCATCACTGTATAAATGAGAGGTAAATAAAGGAAGGGATGTGTAAGCAGCTGGGAAAGTAAGACTTGAGAGCAGAAAATTTTTTCTTCCCAAAATTATAAAAGCAGATTCAAAATATGTAGATGTAGGTTTATTTTTCACCAGGAATTATACCTGATATCAAAACTTAAATTGGTTCAAAAAAAAATATTGCCTCCAGATATATTGGTAAAATAATGGAGATCTTTAATATTTTTATTTGGTTTTGTTTTCCTTGGAACCAGGTTATTCAGAGAATATTCTACACGGTCAACAGATCTTGGAGTGGAAAAATTACTTCAACAGAGATAAGAAAAAGCAACTTTTTGCAAGTATGCCTCTCATACAGTGATATAAAGAACAATTTAATCCTTTTACTTCATTTAACAAATATTTGAGTGCTTAATGTATGCAAAGCTTTATCACTACTTTTAGACATTAAGCATTTATCAAATACCTATAGTGAGAGACCAGAATGTATTGGAGGGTGAGGGGAGGAGGAAAATTGAATAGCAAGGCATATCTGCCTTAAGGCATGCAACGTGGAGCAAGAGAGAGACAAGCACAGACAGCAACAGCAGACTTGATAGATTCCACAGACATGTGTAAAAGATGCAGAGAAGGTCTCATAGAAGGGATGGCATGTGGTCTTGACTTGGAGGATGTAAGGAGTTTACCAAGATAAAAAATTAGTACAAAGGGAATTCTGGACAAAAGAAGCAGCATAAGCAAAAGGCAAAAACATGAAAGTGTCATGTTCAAGAACTGCCAAACAGTATTAAGTGGCCAGAAGCCCTTGGGAGAGTGACCATTGATGAGGCTGGAACCAGGTTGGGGAAGTGCCTTACTAAAGAAATGGAAGAATATGGACCTGATTCTTTCTGCAGTGAGTTTATCCAACTACTGCTGAAGAACAGTACTAAAAATTCCTTTAAAATAGGAATACATTTCATTCAGTTATTTTATCAAATGAAAGTATTGACCACTAGTGGGAGCCTTTTACTGAGGTAATCTTCATGCCTGATCACAGCTTCTATAAAACTAAAGTAGAATTGTTTTGACTTAAAAACAAATGTTTTTGTTTTTGTTTATGCATTGCTGGGTATTGAACCCAGGGACACTTTACCACTGAGCTACATCTCATGTTCTTTTTATTTTTTTGAGATAGGGTTTCACTAAGTTGCTGAAGCTGACCTCAAATTTGCAATCCTCCTGTCAGCCTACCAAGAAATGTTTTATTTTAAATGAATCTTAGTAAATGAAGCTTTGGCAAATAATACAACCTTATTACTCTTTATTTTTTCCTGAGACAGTCATGGTATTGAAGATTTGGCCAAACTAACAGTTCATAATATATTTTAAAACATTTTGTTCTAAAATGATCAGTAATTTTGATGCTTATTGAATGAATACCTGATGCCTGCTTCAGCTCTCAGTAGTATTATGGAATGTGTTAAGATGATAGTATTTCCATAACATCTTTTTTTAAATTTTTAATTGTAGATGACATAATAACTTTATTTTATTGTGTTGTATTGTATTGTGTTGTATTTATGTGGTGCTCAGGATCAGACCCAATGCATCACACATACTAGGGAAGCACTCTACCACAGAGCCACAACCCCAGCCCTCCATAACATCTTAAGAACAATGATAATACTCCCTCACATTTTCTGAAGTACATTATCATTTGTAGTTTTTGAATCATTATTATTATAATCAATTTTTTACTGATAATAAAACTTGAGTCTCAAATATAATTGACTATATTGCATAAGAGCATACAACAGGCAGGTTGCTGAACTGGAAATAGAACTCAAATGTTCTCTTCTTGGAGTATAATTTATTTTTGTCTCCTTTTTCTTCCCTATCTCTTGCCTTAGTCTTTCTTTTAGTACATGAACAACTATTCCAAACTTACAAATAATATGGATATATCTAGATTAAAAGATAAGCAAAAGTTGCTCTTTGTCTTTACTCTGCCATTTCACTCTCCTTCCCAGAAGGAACCCATATTATCCGTAGTTTTATTTCCTTGTAAATGCATATATGGAATACATAATTTTGTGTGGCTACTATTATGAGGACTTTTCCCCTAATATATGGGTTCATACTTACTATTCTGGTAACTTGTTTATTAACAGTGTCTTGGACTTCTTTCATTTCCATTCATGTAAATCTATCTCATTTCTCCTAACAACTGCATTATCAATTGCATGCTGCACTTTAATTACATATTCCTCAATTTCAGATTTTCTCTATTACAGTGGTGTAGAAAACATCCTTATACTTTCCTTTTGGCTGTATATAAGCCAGAAATTTCCTACAGAATAGACCACTGGAGGGAAAATCCTGCATCAAATGGCATGTAAAATTTTAACTTGATAGATTCTGCCTAGTTCATACCTTCACTTACATACTCACCAACAAAAGAAGACATTTTTCTTCTTTATGTTGTGACAATCCAGTAGGTGAAAGATTTGTTTTATTACTGACAATATTCTGCTTTATACACATGAAAAGATATTTTATAAAACAAACCATTTACAAGAAAATTTAGAACACAGAAGAAAAACTACACTTTACTCCTCTAATGCAAGTAGTGCCATTTATGTTATTCTTGCCCCATTCATATACGTGTATGGATTTGGGGGATTTTGCACAGTTCTTTATATGTATAATCTTGCAGCCTATATTTTGCCCTTACTACATCATGGTTTTCCTATATTTATATGTAGACTATAGTTTTTACTCACCACAAAATCTTCCATTAATCAGATTTGCCATAATTTAATAATTTTTGTTGTTTTCAATTTACCAGAGCATTTTGGTTTCTGTCTGCATTTAAAAAATAATTTTTATCAAAGTAATGCATTTATATTATGATACAGTCCTCTCTGTCCTTTGATTTTCATCTTGAATTCCATTTTATTTTCTACTAATATTAATACATATTTTCCTTTTCATTGACTACTTTTATTAATATTACCTTTTTATATTTACCTTTCTTTTTTTACTGTAGGTGTAACCTCTTATAGATATTCATATACCAAAATCATCTTTCTAGATTTGGTTTTCATACTCAATCAAAAAGTCTTTCAGGGATCTGGGATTATGGCTCAGTGGTAGAGTGTTTTTGAGTGTTTGCCTGGTACATGTGAGGCACTGGGTTCAATCCTCAGCCACATAAAAATAAATAAAAATAAAACAAAGGTTATTGTGTGCATCAACAACTAAAAATATTTTTTAAAAGTCTTTCACTATACTATTACATGAAAGACTTTTTAAAAATATTTTTTAGTTGTTGTGCACACAATAAGCTTTGTTTTATTTTTATTTATACTATAGTGATATAGCCACATCAATGTTTATAGCAGCTCAATTCACAATAGCTAGACTATGGAACCAACCTAGGTGTCCCTCAATAAATGATTGGATAAACAAAATGTGATAAATATACTCAATGGAATATTACTCAGCTTTAAATAAGAGTGAAATTAGGGCATTTGTCAGTAAATGGTTGGAGTTGGAGAATATCATGCTAAGCGAAATAAGCCAATCTCACAAAACCAAAGGCCGAACATTTTTTCTAATATGCAGATGCTAATTCACAATAAGAAGGGGAGTACTAGGGTAGAATAGCATTACCTTAGATTAGGTAGAGGGAAGTGATGGGGAAGGAGGGGAGGGGATGTTGGAATAGGAAAGATAGTAGAATGAAACACATTATTACTCTATGTATATATGTGACTATATGACCAATATGATTCTGCAACATATACACTCAGAAAAATGAGAAATTATATCCTATCTATGTATGATATATCAAAGTGCATAAATTCATTCTACTGTCATGTATAACTAATTAAAACAAATTAAAAAATTTTTTTAAAGTCTTTCAGTAGGGAGATTAAGCTCATCTATCTTTATTGTGATTATTGACATATCTGACCTTATTTCTGCCAACTGACTTTTTTTCTATTCATTGTTTCCTTTTTTTTTAAAGAGAGAGAGGGGGGGAGAGAGAGAGAGAGAGAATTTTTTAATATTTATATTTCAGTTTTCGGCGGACACAACATCTTTGTATGTGGTGCTGAGGATCAAACCCGAGCCGCACGCATGCCAGGCGAGCGAGCTACCGCTTGAGCCACATCCCCAGCCCTATTCATTGTTTCCTTAAGGTTTCTTTTTGAATATTCCATTTCTGAAATTGTTCATTTATCTACTCATTTAATTTGGCTCACTATAGAATCGTGTGTTTATAATCTTTACTTCTGATGTTTTCCTTAGGGATACATAGTGAGTCAAGAAACTCAGTTTTCTTCTAGCTCAGGATCCTGCAGCTCCACCCACAATGCCTTCTATGCAAGGCCACCACCATATGTTACCACAATTGTGTGCATAACTAATCTTACGATATCCTTGATTTCATTACAAATAAATGCTGTATGTGATTCCCAAGCTTCTTAATATTGTTCACATAACTTTTAAAAGTTAAGAGCA